GAACAGAACCAGATCTACAGTAAAACTTTATACTCTCAAATAACCGATCAATATATGATAGAAAACTGCAAAGGCACACTTTTTGCACAGTCAATGAGATAATGTAATTGGCTCAAATATCTCAATAGAGGCTTTGCACCATCACATGACGGCAGCCATGATAAAAGGCACAACGATAGAGCCTTTTTTCCCATGGAAAACTGAATTCTTTAGAATGTAAATCAAATGAGATCAGATTCAATTTGCCTCCTGTCATGGCTGCCATCATGTGATGGTGCAAAGGTACTATTTTTAGCATCTAGGTATAAATTAGGGTTTGAAATAACGACCAGTCACAAGACAATGTCCAGCCAGATATGGAACTTGTCCAGGCAAAACTTTGCATTGCTGGTTACTCTGACCAGTAACCTTGAGCCACAAATGAGGTATGAACAAGGGAAAACGGATTTTGCTGGTCATCGTGACCGTTAACTGACTGGTCGTTCTTTAAGCCATGTAAATGATACCCATATCTACTAGGGACCAGTGTTTTTTAGCCCTACTATTGGTGGTAATTCAACTCTAGTCAACCACAATATAGTTAGCCAATCAGACAGTGAGAATTTGTGCATTTGCATGTGAAATCACTCAGGCCCCATCCACATGTATCCGGAAATTTCTGTATCTGAAAATGTTTGCGTCCACACGCAACGTATTCGAATCGTTTTCACCGTCCACACGTATCTGTTTTCGTAAAATTTGCGGATAGGGATACAAAAATTAGCGGACACGTGTGGATGCAACCTGTATCCGGAAAAAAAAAATTGCGGATACAAAAATTTCCGGATACGTGTGGACGGGGCCTCAGTATGATCACAAATATTTAAAATTATTTTGTTATTTTTGAAACAAAAACTCACACAAATGTCTAGGAATAGTCCCCTTTACAGTTCCCTGCACCATCTTGTGAGGTAGCCATGCCTTTTACATCAAAGCGAGACGAACGGTGAGCTTGCAATGATAGAGACCCTTTTTAACACTTTGCACAATTATTCACAGGTCTCTATCATTGCAAGCTCACCGTTCATCTCACTGCGATGCAAAGGCATGGCTAGCTTTCAAGATGGTGCAGGGAACTGTGAAGGGGATATTTGCAGAGGTTATACCTATTTTGGTCCCTTTGCTGGCTAACACTAAACTCTTTCATAAAAAGTCTTTTAAATTGATGAAAACACTTTTCAGGAAAGCATTCAAAGGCATTGGTAAAAAAATAAGTTGGGTGGCCACGGTTAGGCTCCTCGCACTTTAATAAATCATTTTTCAAATCATAAAAAAGGACTTTTTGGTAAATTGTTCAAAATGTGAAAGTTGGTCAGGATTCATGGAACATTTTTGACTTGTTAACTGCGACTTAGTTATTTGAATAAACACATTACCCAGACATTTTGGTCCAAACTTAGACCTTTTTCATCATAAAGAATGTTGGTGTTACACATGCATTTTTAATCTAGTTGTTCTGCTGTGTTCCTTTATAACATACTCATTTATATAATCAGGGGTAGCCTCATCTAAGTGTCAAAATATTTAAAGCCAAATACTGTACATTAAATAAAATGCACACCGTCAATAAATTGAACATTTAAATTAGAACCAACAACTTTGACTGGAAGATGTGAATTTTCTACACAAATTAATGCTAACACTGAACAACAGAAATAATAATAATAATAATAACTTTATTGTCATATAGCGCCATTTCCATTTCTGTCCAATCAAATCCAATCAAATCTTAAAACATAGTATATATTTGTTCATTATACCATACCTGACTGAGACAGTTTAGTAGTCGTGGATCTATCAAAAAAATCAAAAAAAAAATTTTAGTTTTTAGCCATACTTGTTAAATAAGGAAATAAGCATTTTTGATTCCCAGATGATAGGCTTACAGTAGTACCCCAAAACTTATGTACTAGCTAAAAACTAGTGTACTGAGAGTTTGTTGAGGTTTTTCTCTGGGTTTCGTCTTTGTTGCTCCAAAAAGACCCAGCATGCTACAGGGTAAGAGATCAGTTAAATATATGCACTGTGAAAGCTACTGTAATATACATAATTTTTTAACCCAAAAATGTCAAATTGACCCCTGCTGGCTCTCATCCTAAAGTCTAAAGAATCTTAAAACAAATTTTAACATAGTATCCTATAAAACAGCCTTCAATGTGGGAAAATTGATAGTAAAATTCCCCCTGATTGACAGAAACTTAGTGAAATTTTATATTTTAGATGAATTTTATATTGAAAATCTACAGGTGTATTACGTTGCATAATTTGACGAGATTTTCAGTAAAGAAGCTGATTAGGCTGCGTTAGACTCCACCCCCTCTGTTAGCGATCACAATATTTTTAATTATTATATTAAATCTTGTCTGGCTCTCTCGATCGTACTGCCTAGAACTTATTTATCACCAAATCAAAAATATTTAAGGTATTCTATACCAATTATATCGAACTCAGGGATACAACATTATTTCAAAGTCTTCGTGGTCGCGAACAAAAGACTACAGTATTTTGATTATAAAACAAAAAAATTCCTTTGGTGGAATAAAGACACAAGAGCAAACAGTAATGAGAGATAAATGCCAAAACCAATAGCCAAGTATGAGGAAAAACCCCTAAACAAAGAAATTTAAAGCTAAGATTAAAGATGAAAGTTAGAATATTTTCCCCACGAGTAACCTGAACTGAAGTATCATGTTTTATGGCCTGAACTGCTTGAACAGTTAACACTACTGTACACTGTTCCACATCAGAAAAATACCAATTCCTAACCAATATTGATATTTCTAATCAGATACATCATTATACATATTTATTTTGCTAGATAACACTTAGTTAGAGGGTTGTGAGAGGTGTTTAGTAAATGAGAAAATCCTAACCTTCCGCTTGTGACTTCGGGATCCATGACCCAGTTTCGCGGGCTTCGTTGAGTCCAACCTCGATCAAACGAGTGTCCAAAAAATAAACTTTCTGAACTCAAAACAATAATATGACACTTGATATCAAAAATATAATGTCCAAAGCAGCTTAAGTACTAGAAAAGGGGCTTCTTTTTCGTGAAAGTTGGCAGAAAATGGCTTTAAAATACCGAGAATATTGCCAGCAACAAGTACTAGGCTACCACGCTATGAAGACCAAGACCAGACCATGTGTGCCTTATATGGACATGACTACCATATGTGGTACACAGGAGGCTATCAAATCCCATGCTATTTTCAGTTTTTTTCTCTTTTTCACTTCCCATGTTTTCATTTCGTGTTTCTCAAACAATTTCAAAGGAGTTTCAATGTTATGTTTTAGAATTTTATCGAAAAGTATCTCATATTTGAGTTAGTTATGATTTTGTATAGCGCTCTCAAAGGTAACTCAGCTATATCGAGAAATAAATTTGTATTTTTACAAAATTAATTTTTTCTATATATTGTAATTTTTGGCGCAAAAGAAAAAAAATTGATTTTATCTTTTTCTTGCAGGCTACTTATTACTTTCTTTGATGTTGGATCATTCGAAGCAGAGGCAGCGAAAATTATGGACTTCTAACGCATGCGCATGTTCAGGAAAAACGAGGAAAAGCACGATTGGGGAGGGCACAGGGAGCCCAATTTAGATTAAAGTGAATGGTGGAAATAAAATCGGGAAAATTAAATAAGCAATTATTTTTTAAATTCGAGGTCAAGATAATATCCTCCTTCATACGAAAGAGTAAAAAAATCAAATCGATAAAGAATGCAATAGAAAATTTTTTTCATGCGCGCCTTTGTTTTCCTTTTATATAATTCCGACAGGGCAGAAAAACGGGTTCTACTTTCGACGTTCATGCGTTAATAAGCTTTATATTTCATAAACAGGCTCTTTTGGGGCTAATTAACAAAATACCAAAATTTGGGGAAATTTAAGGAATGAGTATTTGGGAAACCTGTGACGGTATCCCTTACTTCTCATCTGCTTGTAATTTGTTTGTATTTTTCATTTTTTTAAACTATGATTTGATGAGAGGTAAAAGCTTAACAAAATGAAATAAAATAAAATAAAGATATAACGCCCTGAATGTTGGGAGAGATGATATTTTGATCAGCACAAAAACTAACATTTTCGCTAATACATCAGGTGCTAAAACCTCGTAGTAAAATTGCTCGAGGTTTTACCAGAATTTTGTGAAAAGTTTAAAGCACAAAAGACACGAATGAAACACTAAACGTTTTTTAACATGAATGAGAGGTAAAGAAGAATTTGCGAAAGTAGCAGCTAGCCTTGTCGTTTTTCTGCTCTGTCATATATCTAATGTCGCTCTTATGTATACAGACAGAGCAGAAAAACGACAAAGCTGGTACTTCCGCAATTTTTTACTTTATCTCTCATTCATGCTAAAAAACGTTTAGTGTTTCGTTCGTGTCTCTTGTGCTTTGACTTTTCACAAAATTCTGCTAACCTAGAACATAGTTAATTGAGGGGAATTAACTATGCCTAGAACAATTCTACTTCGAGGTATTAGCGAAAATGTTAGTTTTTGTGCGGATCAAAATATCATCTCTCCCAACGTTCAGGGCGTTATATCTCAAATACACATCCCTTAAATTTCCTCAAATTTTGTTATTTTGTTAATCAGCCCCAAAAGAGCCTGTTTATGAAATATAAAGCTTATTAACGCATAAACGTCGAAAGTAGGACCCGTTTTTCTGCCTTTTCATGTATGCATATATACTCTTACAAGTGAGGAATTGAAAATACAGTCGCCACCTAGATCTTTGAAACAAAACATACTTTCAACCAGGGGATCATTTTGATCGAGTTTTTGTTGTGGAGTTCGAAGGTTTAAATGACGATGAAATCGTGGTTGAAAGTGTGTTGTGTTTGTTTGCGATTTTATAAAGTTCCACCATTCACTTTGATCTCAATTGGGCTCCCTGTGGGGAGGGGAGGTTGTGTTCTGACTTTTGCCTCCATTGGGTTCTCTGTGTAAACAAAACCTCAAAGATGGCGATGATAAAGAAGGAAGGAATATTTGCTCTTCTTGCCTTTTTAATTTATTTTTACTCTTGTTTAACCCTTATCAGAACCACTACTTTTACCTCATGGCAAGGCCTCATCAATTCGCTAGCATTTATCGCCCTTAGTTGGTTCGTGATGAAGTTTCTTCCACATTTTGAAGTTGTTAAAAGAGCGGCATTTCTTGGCTGTGTGTTTGGATTTTCCGTCGTTCTCAGTTTTTCTGGCTTGCCTTTCCAGCACTTTGGATGGTACATGGCGTCCTTGTCGTTCTTCCATTTCTCTGAATACATCATGACTGCCATATACAACCCCGACACGTTAACGACAGATTCCTTCTTGCTCAACCACAGCCGCGAATACAAATTGGCAGCTATTGCAAGTTGGATTGAGTTTGCTGTCGAGTACTTCTTCTTTCCAAACCTGAAGCAAACTTCCTTCATCAACGAACTCGGACTTTTACTTCTCATCGGAGGTGAAATCGTCCGAAAACTCGCAATGATAACAGCCAAGTCCAATTTTTCCCACATCGTCCAGTTTCAAAAGAAAGATGGTCATGTCCTCGTCCAGCATGGCATCTATAATTGGTTTAGACACCCTTCTTATTTTGGTTGGTTTTGGTGGAGTATTGGGACACAGCTAACTCTGTCTAACCCTATCTGTCTAGTTGTCTATGCGTGGGCATCTTGGAATTTTTTCAAGGAGAGAATTGAAGTAGAAGAAGTCACCTTGCTCAACTTCTTCCAACAAGAATATGTGGATTATCAGAAGAGAGTTGGTACTGGGTTACCTTTTATTAAAGGCTATTTGGTTTCTGAAGAGATAAACAGCAAGAAGGACAAATGAACTGAGAACGACATGGAGGAAAGAAGAGAGGGAAAATACGAATCCCTTGCACGATTTCATTTGTTCAGTAATAATAGCAGTTAGACTTAGACTTATTAGACTTTATTTATACACTCATTTGACAATTATGATATTAATTCACAAAAAGAACTTAATATCTTATTAATAAGATATAGAGTTTTAGATAAATATAGTTACAAAATAATAGAAAAGTTGTGTGTGTGGTTGTTGAAGAGTCACAACTTTCGACTCAACTACCACCCACTGAATTTTAACAAATAAATTAGTGTGGAACCAAGATTGGCTAAGCATCTGTAAAAAAATTACAACAGTCTTAGAAAAAAATCAAGACAAGAGGAAGTTGTTATGGATGCATGCAAATGAGATGCAAACAAGACAACAAGCATTGTATCAGTCCGATAGCCTCACTTGTATGACTCTCAAAACAAAAGAATTTCTCATTGCAAGCTCAACTGTAATAACAACTACAGTGTATTAGCACCAGTAGTCTTAGTCAAAATACAATCCTCTGTCTCTTCAATCATACTCTGGTAAAGTAAACCCCCAGATTCACTTGACAGCTTCTTTGATGTATATTTACTATTTTCGGTGACATCAACTAAAAGTTCTCTAACTTAGATCAATATCTAACTATTGTGTGTCTTAATATGCACTCTAATTTCTAAGGGAATGTAAATTTGAATAAGAAAGATATAGTGCAAAGCATTTTGGTATTCTTGGTTTTCACAGGACGTCATCAAAAAACTAAAATCCAAAGTATTCACTCCACAAAACTTTTTGTCGAAAATATTGTTTATAGCATTATAACAAAAGTTTCACCAAAATAATTGTGCACTATCGCTGTTTGGTTTTAGATTTATTCCGAGTCAAATTCTGTCACGCAATTCTGTGATGTATTTTCAAAGCATTACAACAATGATTGGTAACTTTATCTTTATGATTATTGTCATTGAAAGATAGATTTTTTTGCAATATAAACATTATTTTTAACCTTAGTTATTTGGCCGCCATATTGGTGTCCCTCAATAAGACACCAAGATGGCAGACCATACATTTCAACTAATTTATGAGCATAATCAATCGCTTGTATCTTCGTATCTAAAACTTCTTTTAGCTAGAACTTTAGCTGAGTTATATAGTTTTGGCTACTCTTTTGGCCTGTGGAAGTTTTGTTTCATATAGATCCTGGCAAAATTTGATGACGTAGGTGAAAACCAAGAATTGTTCACTTATGACGCCATCATGCAAACAGCATATAGAGTATAGGTTTTCTGTCAAATGCTGGCAAAGTCTTTTGACCAAATTGTGCTCCTCTTTAAAAGCTGTGTGCAAATTTGTCAGTTAAGCCCATTTTATAAGTTATTTGTAGGTAAGCTAGCCAGGAAGGTACATTTTTTGTTTAGGGGGAAGGGCTATGCCAAGGCAGCCTGCATTCATAATGTATGACAGAGGGGAGGGCAGGTGAAATTGTGGGGGGATCAGAAGAATTTTGGTAGCAAAAAGAGGGGATGGGTAAATTTTCATCAGGAAAATGGGGGCAATGCACTATAGTTAAGTTGGTAGGAGCTACAAGCCTTGCTTCGGGGGGATCATGTATTTTTGCATGACTTTAAGGAGGTGTTAAGAATTATTCTGGACATTTCAAATTTTCACCTGCCCCCACCCCCCCCTGCCATACATTATGAACTCAGATGAAATTAGTAAATTTAGAATTAGAATTTTATAGCAGTAATTCAAGTTTTCAAATTTTTCAAATTTTCAAGTTTCAGCTTAAATTTTCAATGTGTAACAGGGCCTTTACATTACACATGGTGTTATTAAAAGTAGGGAGCAGTTTTCCAGGAATATATTATTCCCAGGGGGGTACTCCGCCAGAATTTGGGTAGGGGTGTTCCGCTGGGATTCTGAAAGGGGTACCCTGTTTATGATTAAAAAAACTCAAATTTGTGGACCCTGTTTATGACAAAAGATATAATTAATYGCACTGAGTTCCTGTTTCAATTATCATGTCATCTCGCATATCGTTTTTTTACGACCATAATAACCAGTTTCGGTCAATATGAAAGTAGAATCCCTGAATATGACAGAAAACTCAGGGAGAACTTGGAACTTGAGTGAAATTGCATACCCTGTTTATGACAAGAAGCTTGAAAAACCATACCCTGTTCAGCGGATCATCCCCGTATAGTCCATATATTGGAGTACCCCCCCCCCCCCGGGATATTTCTTTGTCGTGGATATTTTTTACATGCCATAGATATGTCTTTTTGTTATTTAAAATAGTGGTTTCAAGACATCAGGTTTATCATGAGTGTGTGTTATTTTGTGTGATATTAATTCACAGGTGTTTAAAAGAGTAGTGGTCAGTCACCAATATTAATTTACTGGGGTTTTCAAAATTCTCTGAAGTCTGTAGTTACGAGCTGCAAGGTGAAATTTGGTTTTCCGCTGCCGTCAATCAAAAATAATCAGTTGGTACCTTTTATGTTCTAGACTAGCGATAGTGAAAAACCTATTTCACAACAAGCCATTGAAATATCTGAGTTGAAAAATATAGAAAACTGCAGTTTTCCATATTTAGTTTTTTAAGAGTATTAGGTTTAAAAAATTCTTAGCTAAACTCTGGCATGCTCCTGATAACGGGTGCCATGATTTTAATGAACTTGATAATATAGTGCTTGAATCTCATTATCAGCTACAAATGGTGATCAAACTGCACTGACCACCATTGTGCTGTCAACCAGAAAAATGTCTGTTGAAAAGTTGTAATGCAGCTGATGAACATTCCACATACACCGAATTCAAATATGGCGACCAATTTGAATAACTATTGTTCTGCACTGACTAGCGACTGGTTAGCCTCTCATACATGTGAAAATGCTTTTGTGTTTCTATGTGAACACGAGGCTAGTCATTAGCTAGTTGGTGTAGAATGGAAGAACAGTTATTGTTCAATTGGTTGCCATGCATGTCATGCAAGTGAAACCCAGCAATATTACAAAATAGGTTGTACTGTAGCTACCATAAGGGACCTAAAACAGGGTTCGTGCTGAGGCAACAACTTCAAATTCAAGGACTATTCCAGGAGTATACAAGGAACCAAAAATGAATTTTCAAGGAGTATGTTCAGCTATATAACTATGCCAAGGTTTTACACGTTGGTTGCACATGGCCAACTTTCAGATTTTCCAATCTTTCTGACTAGATCTATTTCAGAACCATGCAAGTAATGATCAAAACAAAAATTCAAGGAGTTTTCAAGGAGCTTAAGGAGTAGCACGAACTCTGCTAATAACATCTTCTCGCACTTGCATAAATTGCAAACAAAAGTGGGTGGTGTTTTATTTTATTGATCACTGTTTCGATTTTCAAAATCTTCCTTGAGTTCAATTTTCTCTTTCTTAAAAGTCTATGCTAAAGTACGGTTCAAATTAAGGTATAATGACAATAAAAGCACGTGCCATACCATGTATTTGAGTATTCTTTTAAACTTTTCTCGATGCTGCAGTTGTTCCAAGAGGGACTTTGATTTTGTATTTTGCCTGCACTATAGGCTGGTACAAAAGGCTGGTACTATAGGCTGGTGCTATAGGCTGGTGCTATAGGCTGGTACTATAGGCTGGTACAATAGGCTGGTGCTATAGGCTGGTACAAAAGGCTGGTGCTGTGGGCTGGTACTATAGGCTGGTGCTATAGGCTGGTGCTATAGGCTGGTACTATAGGCTGGTACTATAGGCTGGT